TCACATTAAGGTTGGTCTTGCTTTAGCTAAGGGAATCAGTATATCTTATTTCCCTGGCTAGTTGTTATATTTCAGGGATGCAGCTATTGTAAAAATGGAGAAATAGGATATGATAAGGTCTTTGCTGGACAATTTCAGAAAAATGAAATACCAGCATTTGATTAGATGGTAGGTAAATATAAGACTTGTTTCTGCAGCTAAAAATGGAGCTAACACACGAAAAAGCAAAGCTGCAAGAGTATGAGGGTAAAACTGGATAATGAAGTTATCTTTTGAGCCCCAATATCCAACTACACTAGAAGCCAGCCCTACTTCTTGAACTTTTAAATACATGAGTTAATAAAATTCTTTTTTGCTAGTCTCTAGCATGTGGTAAAGCAGGTAACATAGTGTGAAGGTTATAGGAAATTGGAATCAGACAAACCTCGATCCTATTTTGCTATTATTTAGTTATATTAACTTAGTCAAGTTTCTTAACTGCTCTGCACGTGTAAAATCAATACCCACCTTACTCAAGATTCTATCTCATACAATCATTAGCATTTTTGCCTTATATTGTTTAGGACAGTTTGGCTATTAGAGTGACAGTCTTTTAAAAGACAATTTAAAAATGTATAATTGAGTAATTGATTTAGATTAGTGTCTTTAAGCTGAAGCCTTACTAATTTTTAAATAGTGATATAAGTTTAATCTATTAGACTTATAAGAATGTTTTAAATACTTAGAAATATTTTTATCATAGACAACAAGTATTTGAAAAAGAAATCTAATATAATAATAGAAGACTGCTTAAAGTTCGAGGATGCATGATTAAATTTAGAAACAGGAGTACACATTATTTAAATCCTCCTTAGAAATAATTATCAAAATCTGATAAACTTATGAATAGAATTAAAAATTTGTAAAATAAGCTTAAAGCAGGAGGGAAATATATTTTAATTTTAATATTTAGTCTTAAAAATAATTTTTCTAAATTGCTTTTTCTGTATATAAAAGTAACACTCGAGTGTATCAAAAAAACTCATTTCAATGTCACTCAATTCATTTACCCATAAACAACCCTTTAGTGACAGTATAATGACAAAAGTATGCCTGGTGCATCATCTTTCCTTTTGTCTACTTTATATTATTTGCATTGTAAAAGTGAAAAAAAACTATTTAAGAAATACAATGAAAAATACATCTTTCATTCAACTATTTCTCCCAAAACATAACTCCTTTTCCCAAAGATAGTGTTACCAGTTGTTTGTTCATCCTTCCGTTCTCCCTAGACATTCTATGCATATACATCTTCTGTTTACATGAGTAGAAACACATTAAACCTTCTCCACATCTTACACTTTTTACCCAACAGTATATCTTAGAGATCTTTCCATATTATGGATCACTTCATTTTAAAAATTGCCTGATAGTATTTCAGAGTATGAATTTATTATTCTTTACTTAACCAATTCCTTATTGCTAACTAGTTAGGTTTATTTTTCCTTCTTTTGCTATCACAAACAATATTTCAATGAATATCTATGTACATAGGCATTTTCATACATATTTGTGTTTACGTGGAGAACAAATACCCACAAGTGGAAATGCTGGGTTAGCAGGTATGATCATTTTTAATTCTGAAAACATATTGTCTAATTTTCCTCCATAGAAACTATTCCACTTTACAGCCCCACCAACTCCCACCAGCTACAGATAAGATAGTATGTCTAAAAAAGTTTTAGCTAGACTCTCAATATTAACCAGTTATCAAAAGTTCCCCTAATATATTTGGGGTTTTTTAATTACAAATTTTAAAATAGTAATACTAATTACTGAGGGGTTAATACATGTGAGGCAATTTATAAAGTTTATATTTCTTTACTCTCACAATAATCCTTTACAATAAATAATAGTCTCACTTATTTTCTATAGATCAAAATTGAGGCAATGGAGAAGTTTCCAAGACCACATAGCTAGAAATTGGTGAAGACTGTAGCCAATTTTTAACAAGGTATATTGACTTGCCAACATTTATTAGTCAGAAACGCCAAGTTATGATATAGTAAGATCAACTTCCAGATCTTAGTAACATAAAAGAACACGTTTATTTTTCATGCACACAGTACACCACAGGTCCAGGAGATACTCTGTAGCAGCTCTCCCTCTGCGATGGCTCAGCGGCCTTCACAAAAACATGTGCTTCCTTAATCACCAAGGCAGGGGAAGGAAGTACTGAATCGTTCTTTTCAAATGCTATGGAGTCATCACACAAGACAAGAAAATATATACCCACTGATGATGATGATGATGATAATAAAAATAGTAATAGCTTACCTTTTGTATAGCACATATGTATACAAGTCACTGTTCTATAGGCTTTGCATGTATCTGATACAACACTTTAAGTAGGCGATGTTGCTGACCCCGTTTTACTGTTGAGAGGACTGAAATACCAAGGGATGAGGTCACCTGCCCAGGGTGATACTACTACTAATAAATAACAGATAAAGGATTTTATCATAACTTGTCAGGCTCCAGAGTTCACACTCTTAATGTAACATTGTATTCTTGTAAATAAAGCATATGGCATATTGAAATATCAAAGATTAGGATGATGTTTTTCTGTATTCTGACATTACGTTGTACACCAAAATGACTGAATAATACTCATAATAATAAAATTATGGCAGAATTTATGTATATATATCTCAAATTTTCTTTATCCATTCATCCATTGATGGACCTTTAAGAACACCTGCAGTTGACCTTGACCCCCACTACTTCGTGTTTGCCTGCTACAGGCCTCTGCCACTACAAAGGCATCTGGAGCTGGCTCTGCAGCCAAATATGTGCATAGCACTGGTTCTGGCCACTACCCCTGCCTGCTCTGGTCTGTAGCTGCTAGATTATGAGGTGCTGCTGAGAGTCCAACAGCCATAGTAGCCACTGTGGGGCGACTCACAGTGCTCACAAAGGACCATGCATGTCAATGCTGTGGATCCTAGTGCTGTGAGCTGACATCTTGACACCTGGACTGAGAGCTGCCACACGCACCTGTACCACCATATCCAGGGTCAAAATATGCTCCCGGACACATAAACCAATGGAACAGGACTGAGAGTCCCAAAATAAATCCTCACATATATGTTCACCTAATATTTGACAAGGAGCCAAGAATACTCAGTAGGGAGAGGACAGCCGCTTCAATAATGGTGTTAGAAAAATTGGATATTCACATCAAAAGAATGAAACTGGACAGTTATCTTACAGCATTCATAAAAATTAACTCCAAATGGATTAAAGACTTAAATGTAAGACTTGAACCTGTAAAACTCCTGGAAGCAAACATTGAAAAAAGCTCCTCGACATTTGTCTTGGCAATGATGTTTTGACTATATCAACAAAAGCAAAAGCAACAAAAGCAAAATTCAACAAGTGAGACTACATCAAAATAACAAGTTTTTGCGCACACACACACACACACACACACACACACACACACACAAAGAAATCAACAAAATGAAAAGGCAACCAGTGGAATGGGAGAAAATTTTTGCAAACCATGTGTCTGATAAAGAGTTAATATCCAAAATATAAACGAAACTCTTACAACTCAACAGCAAAAATGCAAACAATTTGATTTAAAAATTGTCAGAAGACCTGAATATACATTTCTTCAAAGAAAACATATAAATGGCCAAGAAGTACTTGAAAAGATGTTCAACATCACTAATCATCAGGGAAACACAAATCAAAACCACGATGAAGTATCACCTCACACCTGTTAAATGGCAATTATCAAAAAGACAACAAATGACCAGTGTTGGTGAGGATGTGGAGAAAAGGGAACCCTCGTGCACTGTTGGTGGGAATGTGAACTGGGGCAGCCACTATGGAAAACAGTATGGAGGTTCCTCAAAAAACTAAGACTAGAACTACCATATGATCCAGTAATCCTACTTCTAAGTATGTAGTCAAAGGAAATGAAATCACTATCTCAAAGAGATATCTGCACTCCAATGTTCATTGCAGCATTATTCACAATAGCCAAGACATGGAAACAACTTAAGTGTCTGTCAAAGGATGAAAGAAAATGTGACATCTATCTATCCATCTACCTAAATTCATCCTTCTTCTTCTTATTATTATCATTATTCAGCCATAACAAAGAAGTAAATCTGCTATTTGTGACAACACAGATGGTCTTGAGGGCATTATGTTCAGTGAATTAAGTCAAATAGAGAAAGCCAAATCCTGTGTGATCTCACATATATGTGGAATCTAAAAACATTGAACTCATGGACATGAAGTTAGAATGGTGGTTGCCAGGGACTGAAGGTGGGGGAGAATGGGGAGATGTTGGTCAAAGTTTACAAACTTTCCATTATAAGATGAGTAAGTTTCAGGATCTAAGGTTCAGCATGGTGGCTTTAGTTAACAACCCTGTATACTTGAAAGTTGCTATGAGAATAAAACTTTAATGTTCTCACCATGAGGACAACAACACAAAATGGTAATTACGTGAGGTTAAGGATGTGTTAACTAACCTCACTGTGGTAAACATTCACAATATATACATGTATCATCATCACATTGTGCACCTTGAACTTATACAATGTTATTTGTCAATTATATCTTAATAAATCTGAAAAAAATAGAAAAGCAGTGTTTGTTACCTGAAGTCAGAAATACTTGGAGAAATCAATACCTGTGAAAGGAATAAATGAAAGGGTAAGGAATTGAAAATATTTTCATAATCAAGATAACTTTGTGATATAATGTTTCTGACCTTGAAAAATGAAAATAAAAAATAACAGACGAGTTTTAAAAAATTAAGGAATCACCAGCACATCCATATCAGACCTATACCTTAGCAGGGAAAATACGGAGAGGTGGATAAAAACCAGGGAAACTATTATTTTACAATAGATATGGCAGGAAATAAGTAGGGTTTTTATAGATTTTAGTCAGAGTAATAGAACTGTTTTTAATAAGATAATTTTGTAAATTTTGTGCAGATCCTATTGGAGAGGAGAGAAATTGGAGGTTTTAAAAGAAGCAGAAAGGAGGCTGCAAAACCCAGGCTTTAGGTGACTAAAGCTGCGATGATGACAATGGAGAAGGAAAAAATGTAAGTTGAACTTAGAAGTTGAAACTTCGAGAATATAATGTGACTAAATTTTTATTTCTCCATTAAAAATCCTAAAGTTAAGCAGTCTGTCATTTTTACTACAATATCGGTAACTATTTTAATAAGAATGATAGTAAAATGGGAAAAATGGTTAATACTTCAAAAGTAAAATCTACCTCATAAGCAAATTGAGAAAAATAGCTTCCCAACACATTTCAGTCTCCATTAGCCTGAATATTTGGTGGCTGAAAATGGATAAAGAAATAGAATGATAACATATTAACAAGAATAAATAAGCATCGTTCAGAGACAATCCTGAAGCGTTAATGGCCGCTATATAGAAAACCAAATGAAAAATTATAGGACTGAAGAAATTTTAAAATGGAAGCTATAAAAACAATCTTGGTTACATTCTTATTATGTTTTCAGGTGACTACTCTTTGCAAAGCTTATACTTAACCTGAAAATGATTTTGCACAGTGATGCTCAGAGAGATGGAGTGGCCTAAATGTACTAGAAGTTCACTTTAAGCTTCATGAAATCAAATGCTTCTGTTTTGCACTTGCAGAAACTAACTTAAAAGTTAGTTGAGGTAGTTTTTAAGCAATATTTTATGGTTCTTTTATGGAGTAGTAGAATAAAGCATAATTTAACAGAGGTATCACTGGGAAGAAAGTTGGACGTGTTTGCTGTTCAATATGTATATGCTAAAGCAAGCAAGTTTACATTTTGTTGACTTGTAATAATTTCAAGAGCATTTCAGATCCACTAAAATGAAATTGGCAACCTGTTTAATTTGATACTATTTTTATGCAAATATTCTGAGTAATGAAAAAGTAGTGCAGAAAATGCAATTTGGAAAACAAACCTGTTTCTATGTGCAACATTTGTCAAACCTTTTTAGGATTGAGCAATTCAAGAATGATTAATTGTGCATGAATCACTAAGAAAAAAAACAAATTCAAATTAAAAATTGGTTCTAGCAATGACTAAGTTGGTAGATACCAATTTTATTATTTATTTTGTCATTGCTAAGTGAGGAGGGTGATTACATGTTGATTTATATGAATAAACATTAAGTACAAATCATCCAATTTGGTCCTAGTAAATTATAAATCTTTTAAAAAATGAAACTTGAAATCAATATTTCTCTACTAAATTTTAATATTTTATGGAAGTCAAAACAAAAATTTCTGTAGAAATTAAATGCAGGGGTCTGTAGGTCTACATTTTTAATTCATATCTTTAAATAAGCAGCAAATACCACAGAATTATAGAATTGGAATATTGAACATAAACTTAAGCCAGACCTCAAGAATATTAAGACATAGCAAAAAGGTTTAGGATGTGGGACTTTGGTCCTTCATAATTGGAGTAGCCGGTAACTGGTTACGTCTTAGTATGATTATATGGAAGTGAAGTGCTGCTCCTACGGATTTCAGGTAGAAGAAATGAACAGAAAGATGTCAATCTCATCAGATCTGTGTAGGAGAAGCTTAGTTGTACTTGTTTTCCTCTTTAGTTTACTTTGTCATCCCTGTTATCCAATTGCTCATGCTGCCTTATGGTCTACTCAGGCCTACCTTTCTCATAAAGCTTCCATTCTGCTCTGTTTTGCATGAAAATATCCCTGTCCATTTAATAATCTTGTCTGTAGTAACAAGATAATGAGTGGTGATGGGTTTTTGAGTTGCTATCACTGAATAATACATAGGCAGTCTAGCATATGTTCTCTGGTTGGCAAATATCGTAATCCAAATATGTGACTCCAGAAGTAGAAAATTTACATTTGATGACAAGATTTGGGGGCAGTCACTTTTGAACAGATGAGCCTTTTGGTATGTTTAATTTCATCCAGTTGATAACTAACTATTTCATCTAAATATGTGAGGAGGCTTTGGTAAGAGCTTATCAGAGGAGTCTTAGATGACAACAGCAACTAAAGCAATGATGGTGTGGCAAACACTGTAATATGTCTCCCTCAACACAATTTCTGATCTCCACTTCCTTGCCTGTCTCTTATAAAAATAGAATAATGAAATACCAGCCTCTATGCTTTAGGGAGGGCATGTCACACAGTTCTAGCCACTGAAATGTCAACAGTAGTCCCTGGGTATGACATCGTTTCTCAAATGAAAGAATGTTAGAAGAAAGCTTTGATCCACCCTTCCCTCCTACCTGGTGTGCAGACTAAATAGGGATGCATCTTACAACAATGCAGTAGAAAATTACATGCTGAAGATAGTTTCTGGTTGACATCCTTGAGCACCATGTGCAAAATAAGCCCCACGTTTAAACCACTGTTTGTTGCATGTTCTCTTACAAACACATTATTAATTGACAGAGATAAAAAGTACATTTCAACTTTGTATAGGTCATAGTTCTTAGTGTCAGACAATTGAAATTAATCTAGCTGGTTTATTCACTAAGGCAGTGGTTAGTGGAAATCACATAACAGAATTGTTAGGATGGCCTTTCAGTCTGGGCACTTCATTTCTGGGAGAGATACATGAAGGACAACATATCCAGGAAAAATGCCCAATCATACCATGAGGCTATTCCAATGGAAAAACATGCCATTGCCCCTACAGTAGGAACTGGAAACTCTACCACAGCTGCCACGGGAGACCCACATGCAACAGCTACTTCATGCTGTTTATTTCCTCATCCACATTTCATGCAGGCCCATCTGCTTAGCAGAACCTAATTCCCATGCCTGAACCCCAGTTAAAAGGATGTTTGGAAAATGCAGCTTGTGGGCTCCCAGCCTCTGTTGTTCACGAAAGCAAGCCCCAAAGGCATTGAAGTGAGTAGTGAGAGAGTTAATATAAGTGTCTGCACCAAACTGTGCCAGCCCTGATTAGTACTGACGTCCTGGAGTGTTGTTCTGAATATTTGCCAAACGTATGCAGGCTTAGCAAGAAAGAGTGACACTATTCATTAGTGATAGATGCTGATATACCAAGAGGGGAAGTCTGGATATGCCTGTCACCCATTTTGTCCCCAAGCAGAAAGAAGAACAAAGAAGCAGCTGGGGAGTGGCAACTGGGGATTGGAGACATAAATAATTATAGGAAAGTAAGATCCAGAGGATACTAAGCTGCTATAATTGTTGAGCTTCTCAGTCTCAGGAAAATCTGGAGGGACCCAGATAATAAAGGGAGGTGACAACAGTCTAATTAACTCTCTTCCCCTAAGCTGAGGTTATTTTGGCACATGTGTAGTCAATCCTCAGTTTACAGGCAGAAAAACAACAAAGAAACATGAATTAAATTTGGGCTGTGCATCTATTTTAGGCATACCTGCTCCTGAAGTTATTAAAGGGTCCTTAACTTCAAGAGCTACTGAACAGAACAAGCTAAGACATATAATATAGACATAGATTTCTAGAACCATAAACCTTATCTGACTGTTTTTATATGTGAAGAATCTGTGACCCAGGCATATACTGTGGCTTAGGCAAGGTAAGATTTTAGCAGAGTAGTGTTCATTTTGAGTATTTCTCAAGTCTATGCTTTTTCTATGTAACCTCAATTTCATTCAAGCATCTGAAAGATGGCATTTTGCTAAATACTATGAATGATACAAAGAATATATAACATAAGAGCCCCATGATCAAGCAGTTTATGATTAAATAGAGAAATAAAGACACATATAGGTCATATTCTCTACAAATTCCAAAGGAAGGGAAGTCACAGTGAAATGCAATTATGCAATGGAACAGATCAGGGTTTTTATTCAATTAACAGAAACTGGCTCTATCTAAAAAGGAAGAAAATAACTTTATTAAAAGAATCATTGGGGGCTTCCCTGGTGGCGCAGTGGTTGAGAGTCCGCCTGCCGATACAGGGGACACGGGTTCGTGCGCCGGTCCGGGAAGATCCCACATGCCGAGGAGCGGCTAGGCCCGTGAGCCATGGCCGCTGAGCCTGCGCGTCCGGAGCCTGTGCTCCGCAACGGGAGAGGCCACAACAGTGAGAGGCCCGCGTACCGCAAAAAAAAAAAAAAAGGAATCATTGGAAAGACCAAAGAACCAATTTTTGAATTAATCACCAGGGACAATGCATAAAACCACTCTGCAGAACTGGTATGTTGAAGAACATTTCTTCAAGCATTGGACACTTCTGTTTCCATAAATGTCACCTTTCATAATTTACTACTATCCTCACTAGCTAAGAAAGGGAATTGCTTGTTTACAAGCTACTGAGTCAATGTCAGTGGTGGGGAGAGGTTAGATCAGGAGTAGCTAGCATTTTTAGTTTCTATAGAAGGAGGGTATTTATTTCCCCTCTACCAATATCTTTAAAGTAAGGAATTCTCCAGATAGGGTCAGAGGATCAAAGGCTAAGTGGTTATAAATTTAAAAAGATGCCCACCACAAAAAGCTACATAGTATAATAATTCTCACAATAAAAATGATCATACTAATAATTCACACCAAACTTCTTCTTCCATGTTAAATCTCTCAGAATAATAATGATTGTTAGTTATTCCAAAAGCCCTTACTGTATCAAGTGAGTTATCCAGGCGTTTTATATTAATTTATGTAAAAATAAATATATCTGAATGACAAAGGATGTGTAAGTATATACATGAAGAAAAGAAAGGTGAATATAATTTGGTCCCCTCTCTTAAGAAGAATGTATCCTTCTAAAATCAATCTCCAAATAATATCTATCATCTTGCCCCAAACCAACCAAGTCCCTGATCTGAGCTGACTGATGTCCAGTACACCTTCTGGGAAGTGAACGGGCAGGCATTTCCTCTCGTCTAAACCTAAAACCAAACTCTGTCAAATGGATCTGTTTTGCATTTTAAGCAGATTTTCATGATGCTATAGATAACATAAAAGGCATCTAGATATTCAAGCCATTTTCTCTTTTCAGCTAATAATGTCTGCTTATATTGACTGTATTCAGCTGGCACATTAGTTCTAATCATTAGACATTTTATTATAACCTGTGCAAGTGTTACCTAATGACCCCTCATCAGAAAAGCAA